AACAGGGGTCATTTGGCTAATTAGTTCCTAAAATATTGTTTGTTGAAAAAAAAGAAAAAAGCCCTTAGTACTCTGCCTGCATTATTGTGAAATTCATGTACAGTTGAAGGCAGATTAATCATTACGTTTTTGAGGTTATGTGATGAAAGTTCTTGGATGCCATGGTGCTCAGCGCAACATGAAAATCAACAAAAGTATTTGTGGTTTGTTTGCAATATCAGCAGAAGTATTAAGAAATTTGTAACCCTTGAAGCACTAATTCTGCTTCAGATTAAAAAAAGACAAATGAATAGGAAAATATAAGAACATCAGAATAATCTGCTGGATCAGGCCAATACCCATCTTTATCCAGCATTAATAAAAATGACGCTAGTAGTAATATTACAAAACCAAGTAGGTAGTATACAGTGGTGGGTTTCACATTTTGTTACCACTGGTTCGCCCCAAGCGTGCACACTCGCTTCGTGCACGCGTGCACCTTCTGCGTATGCGCCCGGCCTCAAAAACATGCCTAAATAGGAGAGCAAAGCACCGGGGCGGATGGGTGGGCCCACCAGCAATCTCCTCTACCAGTTCATCTGAACTGGTATGAACTGGCTGAATACCACCTCTGGTAGTATACAGTGGTGGGTTCTAACCGGCTTTACTACCGGTTCTCTTTGTGCACGTGCTTCGCGCACGATCACCTCTTCGGTCACGCACTCCGCGCAAGCATGTTACAAATCTGCTCAGCTGAGGTGCGGCTATCCACTCTGCCGCACCTCTCAGCTGGGCTACAAATGAAGAAATAAAAGGTAGGAATAACGCGGGGGTGGGCAGGAGGGCCCAGCTCCCGAAGACAGAGAACTGGTTCAGTGACATAATATTGTCACCGCTACCGGCTCGGCCGAACTGGGAGGAACCCACCACTGGTAGTATATCTAAATAAAGTAATTTTGCTTCTACAATAGCCCAGAACTTCAGATACCTCTGTAGTGCTCTTAAGTAGATGGTAGAAACATTCTCCTGTCCAATTGTTCTCCTGAAACTGAATTTGGGAGGTGTGTTGCTCATAATCTTAAAATAATATGAAGATCCAATATTAGTAATCCTGTATAGAACTGTCCATAAATCTATCCAAATCCCCCTCTTAAAAACATCCAAATTAGCAGCCAGCACTACCTCTTTTGATAATGTATTAATGTATTATTATTACTGAGTTTTCTTATGACTGCTCTAAATCTCTTTCTAATCAACTTTATTGGATGACTGCTGATCCTTGTATTTTGAGGGCAGAGAGTTTCACTTTGTCCAAGTCACGCATAAGTTTATACACCTCGATTGTGACTCTATCCCCATTTTTCCCACCTAAGAGTCCCAAACTTTCTAGCATTTTCTCATGGCAAAGGAACTTGAGTCTCCTGACAACTTTGGTTGCCCTCCTCTATACTATTTCCAGCTGCTTTATATCCTTCTTCAAATAATAATGAGATGCAGTTGCTCAACAGACTTATATAAGGGCATTACAGATGCAGATATACAATAGAGATGTTTAAATTCATTACAATGTTGACTTTATTTCTATTTCCCTCCCCTCATGATTTCTAGGATGGAATTGGCTGCACCCTGAGTTGTCACTGAAATCTCCATTATGATTCCTAAATCTTTGGGATATTAGTTATAAATAGCAATCTAAACTATCAGACCTTGGGAAGAGTGGTTCACAACTTTACATTTACTTCTATTAAATTTCATTTGCAATTTGGTTGACCAATCACCCAGTTACAACAGATTCTTCTGGAGTGCTTCTAGACACATTTGGTTTTTACAGCATTAGCAGTGTACTATCATCTACAAATTTGGCTGGCTCACTGCTTATGGCTAAGTCAAGAATATTTACAAGTAACCTTAAGCAAGATCCCAAAATAAATCCCTGAAGCACATCATTTCTTACTTCTCTCTTTTGAGAAAATTGCCTGTGTATTCCTCAGCTTTGCTTTCTTTTTTTCCAGCCAGATCTGTGTCTCCAGAATGCCACTGTGTGTTCATATCTAACAGCATTTTGCATTTTTACATGAATAGAATAGAATAGAATAGAATAGAATAGAATAGAATAGAATAGAATAGAATAGTTGGAAGGGACCTTGGAGGTCTTCTAGTCCAACCCACTGCTCAGGCAGGAAATTTATACCATTTCAGACAAATGGTTGTCCAATCTCTTCTTTAAAACTTCCAGTGTTGGAGAATTCACAACTTCTGGAGGCAAGTTGTTCCACTGATTAATTGTTCTAACTGTTCAGAAATTTCTTCTTAGTTCTAGGTTGCTTCTCTCCTTGATTAATTTCCATCCGTTGCTTCTTGTCCTGCCTTTGACTCCCTCTTCTTTGTGGCAACCCCTGAGATATTGGAACACTGCTATCATGTCACCCTTAATCCTTCTTTTCATTCACAGACTCTCCCTTCATCCTCTCCTTACCTCATCCTATCCCATACGTGGACTGCAAAAATCTAATGGCCCAGATTTTCAGAAAACATTGTCTCCTGCCACCTAGTGTTCTTCTACATTTATGTAGCTTGAGGAGCATCATGTGAGAGAGACTTGGAATGCTGTGCCAGGATGGGGAAGCTGTTTTCTAGACATAAAATCCTAAAACTGTACCTGGTATACCTTCTCCTACCGCACTGCTATGTATTTCCAAGTGTAAGTCGGAATGTAGCCTTGGTATTAGCAACTGAGGTTTTAAATTGAAGAGATTTTGGCATAATTGAGGATTGTCATGCTTCAGGAAAATAAAGGGCTCTTCTCTTGAGAGTTGATTCATATACTACTTGAGGCAGCAGAACACAGTTTAAATTACATTTTGGCAGGGTGGAAATATCTACTGGGAATATGTGTTATAAAACCCAAACCAGTTTACAACATGGCTTTATTAGAATGATACTGGGTGATTAATCCTTTGGGAGCTACTGTCGTGAGGTTCTTTAGTCTGTCTAAAGAGGAGCCTTATTAAAGTGTTTTTGCAATGGCCAATGGCATAAAAAGCGGTATATTTTCCTAGGCTAACCACAGGACTCTGCTTCAACATTACAATAAGGGCGCTCAGCTGTTGAATTAAAATTTAATTTGGAAGTGGTAGGATTGCCTCCAGGCTGCATTATCTGTCTTCAAAGGGCCTGCATCATTGATGAGGCTTCCTTTAAGGTCAGAAGTCTGGTGTTCTGTAGTTGGGAATGGGAAAAGCTGAGAAGAGCTGTTAATGAGGACTGCAACAGTTATACTAGTTATGCTAGATAAATCAGCAGTTCCTGTAGCTTTTAAGAACCCCCCCCCCCACTTTCCCAATCCCAAATGTATTTTGTTTGTACTTGTTCTTGTGGAAAACAGGTCTGGCAAAATTTGTGTCCAATCTATTGTGTCCAATACAATATACCAGTGTGTAGCTCAGGGTTGAACTGTGGAGTCCTTGGTGCTGTCTGAGCTTGGTTGTTGACTTGCAGACATTTTATTATCTGACTAGATAACATAAGTTGGATAGATAACATAATGTTATCTAGTTGTGTAACATCTGCAAGCCAAGAGAGCTCAGAGAGCACCAAGGACCTCATAAAAAGCATGTCTGTACAATTTCATATGTATTCACTGGCCAAAGTTGTAGAAACTGGTTGTGTAGTTTTACTCGCTCCCACCCTGTGTCATGAGGTTTAGAAATTTGCTACATCATTCATTCTTCAATATAAAACTTCAGGTCTCATGATTTCTTCCAACAACACAGGGCAATCATTTGGAAGAACATTTGTCAACTGTGTGTCTAAGTAAAAAGCCGATGAAACTGAGAGGTTTTTGTTCAAAACAGAATTTTGGAAGCCTGCTAATACTAAATTAAAGGCCTAATATGATCACTCATTAAGCCAGAGGACATGTTAAAGAAGGTGGGGTCTGTTAATAAATAAAATATCCTTTTCAAGCCAGGATCATATTTTTAACCAAATAAAAATGAATAGCAGCTAATGTAGATCATGTGTGAATGCAGAACATCTATTTAAAAGGACACCAAGAAGAAAAGTAATGTTGACTGTTCCAAGTCACAAGGCCTGACACAACATCCAAATAACTTGAAAAGTCATGATTAATATGTTTATTGAATGCTGTTTTTAAATATTAAACAAGGTGGAAAAGTAACCTCTTTTCCAAATACGTAGAAACATATATTATACATTGTAAGAAACAGAGCACTGCTGGAATTCTTAATTTATACTGGTATTTCAACCATATATATTATCTGAAATGCTCACTTGGTTTTTATAGTAAATGGGAGTGAATGCATGGCTCATTGCTAAACTCAATTCAATTTAGTTTTGATTGTTTATGACATAGATCTTCACAATGTAGCAAGCATAATATATTAGTTGAAATGAAAAATAAATAAGTTAAAATAGAAGTAGCAAGTCCAAAACTCACAAATTCAAAGCTAAATATAAAATCCCATAACACCAGTTTCCTGGCATTTAATTTGTAATACTTCAGTCAATGACAGAGGGGAAAAAATAATCATAATAGTTAACTGTCAGAGGTTTTTAGTGAAGTCTTAACATCAGTTTTATAAAATCTGGCATGTCTCTTGGCTCAGACTATTAAAAATGTAGGAAGTTATCCCAAAATTGGTAGCTAGATTGGCTTGTTTATTCCTTAACAAGTCAAGGGTGGGATTTTTTTGTGCCTTAATACAAAGAATCATTTAGGAAATAAAGGGGAAGATCATTTGTCTTATCTGAAATGATAAAAGCATAGATTTTTAAAGTATCTCCATCTTTTCTCACAAGGTAGTTACTCTCATTTATCTTCAGATACTTGAGAAAAATTCTTTACCTCACAATCCAATGATCTGTTCAAATGCACAGAAATTGCCAACTGACATAAGTATGAATTTTCTGTGAAATACATTAAGCAAATGGAATTAATTGTGGGGAAATGGCTGTGCTAGCTTTAAAACATGATGTTTTCTATCTCTGTTTACTTGAAGATATTCTGGAAGTCGAAGGAGTCAATATATTCAGCCGTGAATATGAAATTAATAAGAAGGAGCACCACACAGACAAATACTACAATTTCAAACTGATTGTGCGCCGAGGACAGACTTTCCATATGCAGATTACATTCACTCGTGTATACAATCCCGAGAAGGACCAATTCTGGATTGAATACCTTATAGGTAAGTGCCAACTAATGCATGTTATTGTTATTGTCTGTCTTTTTATTTTGGAAAAGTTTATAGGTTACAGTGGCAAAACAGTGTAAGTGTCATTTTGAACCCAGATGTATATCTTGCAGATGTATATTTTGTATATACATCCTGGAGTTGTATAATTTGTCACATTATCACAGACAGGTACTTAAACACCTCTCCCTTACCTCTGTGAACATCCATGTCACACAAGTGCACTGAGGGGTGAAGGGAGTATAGGAACATGTAGTTATGCTTCAAAGCAGGGGTGTCAAACTTGCATCGTCATGGCCTCGTCACATGATGTATCGGGACTTTTCCCCCCTTTGCTAAATCGGGCAGGAATGGGGCCAGAACGTGACACATCTGGCCCATGGGCCACGAGTTTGACACCCCTGCTTTAAAGCATGCACAAGTATTTGATAGTTGGAGACTACATATATATCTATATTTATATACATTTACTACATAGTTTGTGTCTTTTTATTTCTGCAATGGTTCCACCGTAGCAGAAGAATCACATTTGTAAATAATGGAGTTTTGATAAATTTTGGTAATGCAATTTTGAGGAAGGAACCTCTAAGAGTAATTAAAAAAATAGTGGTGCACACAGTTCACAGGCTGCAAGCTTGATTTTAAGAATCAGTGCTTCTTAAAGTGTCCCCCAAGACCCTCCCAGGAATTCAGAAAATCACAATTATTTGCTAGAGGTCGAAGATAAATGCAAACATTCTCATTATAATTTGTTAAAAATAGTCTTTTTAAATTAAAAATATTTATGTTCATATCTAATAATAACTGGGGAACCCAGAGCGGGATGGAGCCCATTAAATGGCTGATATGAGTGTGTGTTGTCTCTGGGGTGTGTGTGTATGATTATTTCATTATTTTACAATTTTTATTTTTTATTATCTTTATTTCTTTTATATTGTGTTTTTATTTCCTGTAAGCCGCCTTGAGTCACCGTGAGCGAGTAGGTGGCAATATAAATTTTCCAAATAAATAAATAATATGTTTAATATTGTTATTTTTACATTATGCAATAAATAGATACCATGTGTGCATTATTTTAATTTTTAATATGGTGAATATTGATAACATATAAGCTCTGCAAATGAAAACTCTTTGCGGTCTGCCATAATTTTTAAAAAGTGGGGAATGGAAAAGCAAAATTTTAAGAAATACTGCCTCAGATGTTCAATGCACGAGCAAAAGCAAAGCAAAGCAAAGCAAAAAGCAAACCCCTCCCCTAAACATTTTTCCAAGCTTGTGGGGCGGGGGAAAGAAACAGACCTCAGGCTGTGGATGTGTGCTTGTAATGAACATCTGCAGGAGGGCCAGGTATGGTGCCAAAATGGGCCAGAAAGCATTAAATAAAGTCAGAGATGGCAACCTTTCCAGGCATTGCAGGCTATGATTTGATTGGCACTGGGTGCCCGCCTCCCTATTTATTTATATATACGGTATGTGTAAGGTTGGAGATCTTTTGAAATTTTCAGCACACAGTTACTGATTTGGTGATAATCTGAGTCTCCTCGACACCATTATTGGAATCTTACAGTGCTACAAAGCTCAGAAAGAACAGGCCAGAGGGCAAATAAGATCTAAAACAAACAAACAAAATTATGTCCTTAAAAATCAAGATGTGAGCATCTGTAGCATCAGAATATTTCTAATATTCAACTGAAGCCTGCCTTCCTGTAATTTAAATTGATTCGTCTGTCTCCTGTACTGTAGAATGATGTCTAGGCTCTCTTGTGGATGATATTATCTGAAGCATCTTTCAACAACAGCAGTGTTATCAAACCCCGATAAATAGAATACTCTAAGACAAGCCTTTATCTGGGCTGCAGAATTCCAGATGACGGCCAGATGGGAGCAAAGAGTTAGAAATTTCTTTATACAGCAATACCTCAAGGATATTGCAGGTTGGTTTGAGACCACCGCAATAAAGCAAGTCACACCAATTTTTTTGGTTTACCAGTGCACATAAAAGTTATATTTACACATAGTCTATTAAATGTGCAATAGTGCTATGCTTAAAAAAAAATCAATGTACATGCCTTAATTAAAAAGAACTTTATTGCTAAAAATGCTAATCACCCTCTGAGCCTCACTGAATTATAATCTTTTTGTTGGTAGAGGGTCTTGTAAAAAACCGCAGTATCTGTGAAGCACAATAAAGTGAAGCTTTATAAAATGAGATACGCCTATATTCCTTTGCTGCCATCTGGTGATTGTAAAATATTTGGGGGCCTAGCTATGGCACACCTAATCTCTCCCCCCCCCTCCTTGTTTCATGTTCAGAAAAGAGGAGGAAAGAACAGCCAACAGCAATTGCTGTTTGAGTCTTCGAAGTCATTCAGTACATGCTAAGGGGGCTTGGTTGTCACAGAAACAGTAAATGATGATTTCTCTCCTCACTGCATTGTTCTCAAGATGTTTTGAGAACAGTCTCTTGATGATCTACTCTACAGGCCTCGCAGAGATTAGTGAAAGACTGCAACTATATAAAGCAGCCTTTGTCAACCTTTTCACCCTGGAGGGACCCCTGCATAAAGATAGCAAAAATACAAAAACTTCAGAATACAGTTCACTTCTAACTGCACAAACCATGTTTTACAAAGTGGCATGCTGGCAACTGAATCATGGCACGTAAAACTTTCCAAAGTTTGCATGATAGCATTGTGTGGCCTGTGAATTTTTTTTTTAAAAAAAATGTTTTTCCTCCAATCACAATTTCTTGGAACCCTGGTTGAGCAAGATTGATCTACAGTAGAGCAAGGCTGTCAAACTCCCGGCCCACGGACCGGATGCATCACGCACTGGCCACGCCCATGCCCAGTTTAGCAAAGGGGAAAAAAAGTTCCGATAAGTCACGTGATGCTACCGTGATGATGTGAGTTTGACACCCCTGCTCTAGGGCTTCCTTTCCCCCTTTTTGAAGATATGGGAGGCAATGTTTGCATCCTGTCATCTGGCCCCATCACCTGTTTTCTAGAGAGTCTCAAAGACAATACAGAAAACTTTGGTCATATTCCTTCATTATCCTAGGACATAATTCCTCTGACCCTGGAGATTTAAACACGCTCTCCAACCACCTTTTTGTCAGTCTCAGTCTTTTCATCTGCTCTTCACAAGTGCTTTTTGAATCCATATCTCGTCTCAGAAAGGATTGTGGGTTGTTCTTTACTGTCTCCTACTTGCAGCTTTTTTTATTTTGCCGCGTTCCTTTGGTCTCATCCCCAGCCAATAACGAACAATTTAGAGTTGTAGGTAAATGTTTCTGCTAAATCATTGTTTCTGCTAAAAACATAATATAATATGCAAATATGCATCATGCATGCATTTCTGAATAAATTCTGAATAAGTTGCATTCACATTTTATATTTTGAAATATTTATTTATTTATTGTATATGTGAATACCCAGAAAAGGGATGAATTATTGATGACTGATTGGATATTCACCATCTCATAAAGTAAATATTGTTTATGGATTAAAGATCCTGTTAACAGCCAGTTTGATGATCCTTGGTGGTACCAGGCTAAACACTGGGAGGGCTATGATTTCTATTCCTGCATAGGACACAAAGCCAGTTGGGTGACTGGGGCAGTCACTCATTCTCAGCCTTAGTAAGAAGGTCAAATGGCAAACCACTACCAAAATCTTGCCATAAAACTGCATGGACTTGTCCAGGCAGTTGCTAGGAATCAAGATTGAATCGAAGGTTAAAGCCATTTTACTGTTAGGATTAACCACTTTTATAATTTTGTACATTAATTTTTGAGTGCGCTAAATGCCTTTAGAGCAATGGTCCCTGATCTTTCTGGCAACAGGGACTGGTTTTGTAGAAAACAATTTTTCCATGAACCAGGCGGGGCATATTTTGTGTGCAACTTTGATCCCGTGAATGCGCAGATGCAGGTTCGCTCACTCTCCTGCCACTTGCGTGGCCTGATTCCTAATAGGCCACGGACTGGTACCGGTCCACGAATAGGAGGGTTGTGTACCCCTGCTTTAGAGACGTGCTGAAGCCGGGCACAAAGAAATGACATTTCTCTAATTTGTCTGTAACCATCATTATGCTGACACTGATGAAGGAAATTCCATTTAACAGTCATGAATAAGAACTATTTATATTTCTGCTCTCCATGAATTAATCTAATATATTCATGCCTACATTTTATGGGAGTCATTACCATGTATTCATAGCAATTTATGATGCTTTCTGTAAAGTTTTTCCCCAGACTGAATTGATCATTTGTTGATTACTTAACATGTGATTCGTAGCTGAATGAAAGAGGTGTCTCTTTTTGAAAAACAACTGTGTTATATTTAATTGGGTGCTATGAAGGCTCTGTGTGTATTTCCAATACTTCTTTCACTTCTGCAAATAATCAGGTTAATGTTATGCTGATGAAAATTCATGGAAGAACTTGCATTATGGTTGAAATAGATAGATCAGTTTGTTTCCAACCTAACTTGTTTTCACATGTGTTTATTCATAATTCAGTTTCATCATGTTTGCACATTAATGTGCATGAAAAAATCCAAATTCTCTCTATATTTATATATACTGTGTGTGTGTGTGTATCAGGTTTTCCCTACGTAACCAAGGTTTTTTGTAGCTCCAGCTCAGTAGAATCACATCTACTCGGTTCTGGGCTTTTTTCCTTTCTAACAGCTAGCATGCTCTAACTGCTAGGTGGGAGACCTAAATAGATCCATTTCTAGCTGGTTTGCTTTCATCAGTAGGCCACACCCATATCTTATGTATCCTCCCTGTAAAGGTACAGTATCAATTTTCTTACTTCTTCGTAGGGTTTATGTGTGTTTTTCTTCTTTTTCTTTCTTCTTCTATATATATTTATTTATAAGTGAAAGATTTCTGCAGCTCGAAGAGAAATCAGGATATATAAAATGCATTTGTAAATATTTAATAATATTTTCAAATGTATTTTTCATGAAATATGTTTTTCTAAATAT